GCATCAACAACCCTGTTGCTGACGCTTTGTCCAGGAGCACTCCAAATTCCTGCGGACTGGGTTTCCCTCTTGCTGTCGACTATAATGCAATAAGCGTTGCCCAGCAACAGGACCAGGAGCTTAAATATCTACGCAAATTTCCTGGTCGGCTTGCCTTCGAGGAGATTACTTTATCTTCATCCACCACGGGAGTAGTCTGCGACGTCTTGACTGGTACACCAGGACCATTCATACCTGCCGACTTTCGAAGGCAAGTTTTTGACTCCGTACACGGTTTATCTCATCCTGGTATTCGTGCCGCTCAACATCTAATGATTGAACGCTTCCTCTGGCTCTGAATCAATAAAGATGTCCGAAGCTGGACTCGAACCTTCCTTCACTGCCAAAAATTGAAGGTCCAACGTCACACTTCTGCGCCGCTACAGGCATTTCCAACCCCGAAAAAGCGCTTCGACCACATCCACATCGATAGCGTGGGACCTCTGCCACCATCTGAGGGTTATCCATACCTTCTTACATGCGTGGATCGGTTCACCCGCTGGCCAGAGGCATTTCCCATTCAAGATATCCAAGCAGACACCGTAGCACGCACTTTCGTTCAAGGATGGGTGTCCCGATTCAGCATCCCATTTACTCTCACAACGAACCGGGGACGTCAATTTGAATCCATGCTCTTCCGACAACTTCTATCACTCTTGGGAACAAAATGAATACGAACGACCGCCTACCACCCTTCCGCAAATGGTCTCGTCGAGTGTTTTCATCGCTCATTGAAAGCGGCGCTGATGGCACAATCCAACCCAAATAGCTGGAACACAAGCTTGCCGATCGTCCTCTTTGGACCTCGGACTGCTTTGACGCGAAACCTGGGCTACAGTTCAGCCGAGTTGGTATATGGCTCTACCCTTCGCCTACCCGGAAAATTTTTCACATCAGGTATGGAAGAGCCAGCTCCTGATCCTATGGCATATGCCAATAAGCTGCGAACGATAATGCGAAATCTCCCACTTACATTACCCAGTAAGCAAGCACGAGCTTACGTATACGTATCTAGCAACCTTGACACATGCAGCCACATACTTCTACGCAGGGCCGGCTCTAAAAGATCGCTTCAACAACCATACACCGGGCCGCATAAGGTAGTTACGAGAGAAGCCAAGACTTTTACAACTGACTAAAATGGACGCCAAGAAACCGTTTCCATTGACCGCCTAAAACCCGCTCATCAGGAACCGCTTGATAATCCAAACCATGCCATTCATGCTTCCACCATTCCCGCTCGACCAACCACTGAAGAATCCAACAGACCCAGCTCTGCTTATTCCGAAAACAACCGCAGAGACTCCGGTCAGTTTGGGTCTAGAGTATCAAACTCTCCGTCACACACGAGGACCATTATTCACCGCAACCAAACAAACACAGGCGATTCTCTCCGAGCTCCAACTCGCTAAGTGATGTGGTGTTTACCACCATCGTACGGTCATCCTAGGAACGCGGGAGAGAGAGAGAGGGGAGGGAGAGCATTGTAGAGTGCCGAGCGCCAAGAAAAGAAGAAGAGCAGCGCAAGGTCGGGGAGTGCGCGACACTCGGGAGAGCGTGCAGCACGGCCGACGATCTCGGTGGGTACCGAAGCGACGCCTTCGAAGATATCCCTCATAGCGTTAGATATTGTAAAGTGTAAATAAATATGTAGGACCTACATTTGGTCCCTACGGTGGTGTTGGGATCAATGACCGCTATGGCGGGATATAAGCAAACATTGCTGACTGGGAAGTACAGTCATCTTTGCCACTCGCCACCATAACAAGCACGTAAGGGAGACGACCTAAAAATAGCAATTTTTGTTAAACTTTTCTTGATTGTACACCGAAAGTTAGCCCACTCCATATTTTCAGCCTATTTGCTCTTGGTGTTAGGTGGGCGATCGCTCGGGATTTTACAGTATAACGATACTACATATAACGATATGGTACCACTTATAATGATCAGTTTATAGAGTTTTTAGACCACAAAAGAGCAGTTTCTAGTACAGATGCAACGATAATCGGTTATAACAATTGCATTTTCGGGTTTTCTCATTATCGTTGTAAGTGGATTGCACTGTACCATTGTGTCATGCCTGACGTGCCTGAAGACAATTAACCTACGCTTACCTGGTCACTCCTCCTTTCAGAAAACTGCTTGTTTCATGAAATCTAAGGCCATAACTTAATGCTACACCATTCGATTAAGACAGCTCTCTTGGTCCATCCTATGTTGTACAGCCATGCCAAACAGATGGTTTGCTTAACATGTGGTTCAAATGCTCTACATTAGTTTTCATAAAACAAGAGTTTAATAAAGAATGTGTTTAAGGCCTGGGCTTGCCAAGGAAGGTGTGACGGAACACCACAGAAACTGTGAAAGGACAACCTGAGAAAAAGAGAAGTAACCTGAGAACAATGAATGAAATTCTAAACATCCCTTATGATTGTGAGCTCGACGCTCTGCCACTGCACAAATTAGCAAGTAGACGTAAAGCTAGCTTGCCTTGTCTCTACTAACTTTTTAAATGCAAATGCTGAATGCCGCCGTTTAAACATTTTATGAGAAGATACAAAAGAATTCGAGACAAGCCCACCATTAGATAAAAAAAAAGGATACTAGTTTGAAATAACATGCTATAACCTAGAAATAATGGAAACAGCGCGCAAACGACAAGGACGGGAGGAAAAGGAGTACACAGGACGAGCACTGAACTGACAACTGAATATTTATTGAAAAGGACCCAACGAAGAAAACACCCACAAAAAACACACTCGCATCAACACGTGTCCATGAAAGTAATCTCCTTCTTATGTAAATACACAGAAGTTTGACTCACGCAGTTCTGTTCCCCCTCTTTCTTTATTCCATACGCTTCTAAAATTTCCCTGGCTGTTTTATCTGCTCCCCTCCCCATGATTGTGATCTTATTGAAATCAGGATGACATTTGCATGTTCCGCAGTGCAGGGGCAGATGCCCTCCTGCTGTTGAACTAAGCGACCAGTCATGTTCGCGTGCCCTTTCATTTATGCAACGGCCCGTTTGCCCGATGTAAACTCTTCCACAGCTTAACGGGATCCTGTACACCACTCCGATCGCACAATCCACGTACTTCTTTCTGTGGTTTACAGTGCATTGGTTCCCACCCCCCCTCCTCTCGGCTACTTTAGAACAAAGGTGTGCCAGCTTACGAGGCGCCGAAAACACGACAGGGACATCAAACCTCCCCGCCACCTTTTTCAGGTTGTGGGAAATTCTGTGCTGATACGGGATAACATGAGGTCTCTTGCTAGGTCTATCCAGCCGCTGATGAGGTCCCCCCTTAATCTTTCTTAACAGCGTTTCCGCTACCGCCAGCAAAACAGAAGAAGGGTATCCCCCTGCTGCAAGCCGCACTGTCTGCTGTTCAAAGCTCTCTGCCATAGAATGGGGACAGGACTTATCAAGGGCAGCCTGCATACACGAAGACGCTATGCTTCGTTTGACGAGCTTTGAGTGGGCGGAGTCGAAGGGCAGAAGTCCCTTTTTCGTACGAGGATGGTAGGCCCAACATACGTGACTTCCTGTGAACTGTAGTTTTAAATCTAAATACTGGAGGCAGAACCCATCTTGGAGTTCATGAGTAAACCTCAGTCCCCCAGAGTTTTTTGCAAAAACTTCCATCACCTTTTTGACAACCTGATCCTCGAGGACCCCCCCAGACGATTTAGTGAGCACGAGGTAATCGTCCACATATCTGAACACTTTCTTAACGCTGTTTCCGTCCAAATTTTCTACAATAGCTCGATCACACATGGCCAAATAAATGTCGCAGAGAATGGGCGCTACACTTGAGCCTATGCATATTCCTTCGTTCTGCAAATAGTAACCACCGTCAAACAGGACAAACGTCGATTGTAAATAAAACTCCAACAGTTCCAGAAAGCCATCAACCCCCACCCCACTTGCGTTCTGAAATGGAATCACCCCGTTTCTATCGATACACTCACGCACCGAAGCAAAGAGGCGCTCATGGGGTACGGAATAAAACAAATCCTCGACATCAATGGAAATTGCTGCTGCATCTGCGCGTACGCCATTGCTAAGATACTCCACAACCGCCTGTGAATTGCGCACTAAAAACGGGTCAAAAAGTTCCAGGGCACCTAAGTGTTTCTGAAGGTACTGGCTAACCAGTTTCTGCCAAGCACCCCTCTCCGTAACAATGGTTCTGAAGGGCAGCCCCAACTTGTGAGTTTTCACAGAAAAGAAAACTTCCAGGTGCCCTGCCTTGCTTTTCCCAATGTCTTTCTCTAAAGTAGACAACTCGAGACTATTACACAACTTCAGCGCAGCACTCTTGACTTTCTTGGGATCAAGGGAGGTCAGTTTAAAGTGTTTTTGAATTGCAGCTCTCGACTTGGACGTTAACATGTCCTGTGGGAGCACAACAAACCCCCCCTCCTTGTCCGCCTGAAGCAAACCAAGCTTGTTTTCTTGGAAAAACGAAACAACATTTTTCAAAGTCCTCCCACCTGGCACTGGCGACGTGTTTCTGACACAACGTAACAAACAGTCAACACCCTCCAAAATACATCTTTCCCTTTCTTCAATTTCAGCCCTTTCTGATATTCTACGCACGACAGCTAACTGTTCATGCGGTTTCAAACGCGGTTCCACACTGTACTTAGGTCCCTTTTCGAGAATTCTGGACACATCCTCGGGAAGCTGAACATCTCCCAAAACCACGTGTTGATGCGAGTGTGTTTTTTGTGGGTGTTTTCTTCGTTGGGTCCTTTTCAATAAATATTCAGTTGTCAGTTCAGCGCTCGTCCTGTGTACTCCTTTTCCTCCCGTCCTTGTCGTTTGCGCGCTGTTTCCATTATTTCTAAGCATGAACCAACTCGCCCACATCGCTACTCTGATGCTATAACCCCCAAAAAAAAAGAAAAAACCAGCAATGTCCACGCACAAACTCCGCAGAATGCCGCAGAAATACGTCCTGTGAATGCAGACTTTATTAAAAAAAAATTTAAAAATTAAGATAAATCTAGCATTCTTTTCATACACAAACAACAAGAAAAAACGATGGTCTACCTTGGCCACAGCAACACGTCGGAGATAAATATGATGCAATCGCGGCCAAACCGTGACCGTCGTCGTAGCAGCTCGTCGAATGCATCAAACGGGTGGAAATGAAAAGGAGAATGGAAAACCAAGGGCATCCCTGGTACGTAGTGGCCATGTCAACCCTTTTCCACTTCAGGTATACCAACAACCCGTAATGTTGCCCTGAGTAGCATCGTAACATCAAAGGACGAGGCAATGCAGAGGACACAATGACAAGGTCAAACATGGTTACAGATGCGCACAAAAAGGAAAGGACTGAGAAAAGAAAGACGTAGACAACAGACAAGCACACAGTCACAACTCGCATGTATTGGATGGAACAAGGAAAGGAAGAAGTACAACTGGCAGAATCAGCTCTAGTGAAGGCCACAGGGGCATCTTTAACCATATTTTATCAATACCAAATCGTCCAAATGACCACCCACGACAAGAGAGAAATGGGGCTGCTCGCTCAGCAAACAATCTTTTCCGTTTTTTTTCATTTCATTTCATCGAGTTTTGTCAAAAATGAATGACAATGCCCACTCTTGAATAAACCATTTTCCAGAATTAAGTTTTTTGTTTGTTTTTCTTCAGCTGCCACAAGATGGCCTTGCCTAACACTACTCTGCTGTGGTCCACCACCGCACACAGATGTGCGAAAGACAGAGAAAGATGCCGATCGTTGGTGAAACTGCAATGGTTGCTCAACATATAACTAGACCTACAAGATCTGTTCACTCGGCCATCAGGGAGCAAGATACAAAATTTGTTTTCATTCAGCAGCACATGTCATACGTCTATTTATGCACATTACAAATGTCTCTCTAGCTCGGCTTCGCCACATTCCTCCTTGACAGGGTGGCCGTGGCTGGAACCGTTGTTTTAGCCCATGTTCTTCCTGTTTCCACTGCCTCTCTTGTTTTCTGCACAAAGATTGGTTAAAGTTAGCACTGTCTTATCGCAACATGCTAAGTAATTTGTCGACAAGTGCTGCATAAACAATTATTAATGAGGGCAATGTAAAACATATAGATAAAGGTGCAAGATTATGAAAAATCATATAATATGAAGCTGTACAAGTCAATTGCATCGATACACTGATTGAAGTGATGTGATTGATCTGAATCATTTTGGAGGACCTTTTGGAACTGTAAAAAAAACTTTTTGATGGCAGGTATATACTTCATTCTCATTCCTTTACCCTGTGGATGCTAAGTTAAGGTTAAAGTGTTAACCTGTACAACTAAGAGAAGATGGCTCCTATACTTCCCCAATCCTGTGCAACTACTTGCCAACATTCACTGCACAGCAGGCGGTTCGATTCTCTCAAACACTCTACCAGTGCTTGGTTGGCCACTTTGAAAGTATGGCTTTGGGTGCACAAATAGCAGAAAGCCTACATGAAGGATTCCTTTGTGTAATCCTATCATGTTTCCAACAAAATGTTTCAAACTGACCTAAAAAGAGTTTCACACTGGATTTTATCTATTTTACTTTCGGATAATTACGAAAACCCACTCATTCTGATTATTTACTGTGGTATGCCAAAGTTTGAATTAATAAGGTTTCACTGCGTTAATAGGCTTAGGATGTGTTATGGGATGTGCATTTCAAGCTAAATCTTTTGTTTTTCATTGACACAGTTGTTCCATCATATAATGAGCTGCCTAAAACGCTCAATGCAAGGTAGGTACCCTTTCCATTCGTCACTAGTAATCTGTTCCACAACCTCGTTGAATTCTATAAATTCAATGACAAACTATAACATTTTTTTCTTGCATTTGTAACTTTAATTCACTTGCAGCTTCTCAGATGCCAAGTTTAGGAGATACATATTTTTGTTAGAATTGCACTTTACTCTTTCTTGAGAGATCAGATCTTGCACAGATTTGACAATGGCTAAATTACTGCCATGTTTCTTTGACAAAAAATTCTTTCAGCCTTTCCACTCTGGTGAAGAAGGAAGAGCAGCGGAGCTGTACCATGTGCCACCATCTATGAGCGACGGCGGCGGCAACCAGACAACCAGCTTGCCGGTTGTCTGGTTCCAGAGGGTTGTGTCGAGTTTTATTTGTCCACGGACACGAAACTGGGGCAACTAGCCCTTAACAGCTCCTCTGTAAAAGTAGGGTTGTGGGAATATTGGAGAATTTAGAGTATGAATAGAATATTTTTCCTATTCGATACATAATTGATTTGAGGATTGCATATTCGAAAAGACTATGAATATTCAAACAGTACTCAGAATATTTGGGTAAACAAGAAATAATATGCACTCTCGCATGCCCTGAACATTCTCAAGCATCTCAGGATGTCTATTCATCGAAATCTACATGCGATGCATTCATTATCTGTTAAAACTCTTTTATCTGCCCCACAAGACACCAACAGTTTCAGTTTCTTCTTCTTTTTTTATATGTAACATGTTGTGAACTAACAAAAATAGACATTCAATTAGCCTATCATGCCGTTTACTCAAAAAATGTATGAACGTTTGAAAATTAAAAAGAAAAAGCTATTTTAAGAATACTGCATTGCCATAGACAACAACTCAACTTACTGGACAAAATGGGCACCACTGCTCTGTGTTCTTTGTTTGGAAATTTGTAAGCCACACTAGCTGCTCTAGTTAAGGCTGGTACTGTCTTTGTTTGAATGTGTTCTCCGAGTCTAGCCTCAGCCACAGTTGATGAGCCACCGAGCAAGCAAGGAATGAAAGCCAGAAAAGGTCAAAGGTAGACAAAACCCTTGCAGTTCATAACACAGTGCAAGTCGTGCGAAAGTGTTCTTCAAATACCGACGGGAACGGCTACAACGCTCCAAAACCACTTAAACAACACCCTTGGTTGGTGAAAGAAAATGAAAAAGGACGCTGCGAGCAGGCCGCCAAGGAGTCAACCGACACAATCATACGGTTCAACAGAGGAAGCAGCTCTTGCCGCAAAAGACAAACATAACCATTTCTTATTACAGTGTAGACCGCATATAACATATGTCGGGGGAGTCGCGAAAATCTGCACTATTCGCGTCTCCAGCTTGACGCTCGCCCTCCCGCGGCGGAAACGGGAAGCGCTCTAGTGAGGGTCCCCCGATTCTCCTGCTCAGCGGGCACGGCGGAACTGCTCGCGATCATGGCTCGCGAAATGCCATTTCCAAATGCAAACAGCACTCTTCACTGTCCCAACGTAGTGCTGCAGCCCAGAAGGGTGGCAGAAAGTTCTGCCACCCTTCTGGGCTTTGGAAACCCTGTCAGCACGAATCTCCGCCAATACTGTATGTTCAGAGTATGCCGCCCTTTCTCAAAAGATTTTACTTCGTACGCCTATTCATTATGCTTATCTTTTTTGCGTTACCTTCCACCGTGAGAGCAGGGGAACACTGGGGCTCGTAGCCTGCTCGGGCTTTGCGGAAAACAAACGAAAAAGACTAACGTCGAAAGGCCCGTGACCCGGGTTTTTTGACGTCCTCTGGAAAGCCTTCGTGGTCTCGCCGAAAAATAGCTCGTCGGGTGCCGGGTAGGGGACGGTTCAGATGCATTCGTTTCTTTGCTTCGGTGCCTTGCAAAAGACAAGCTCTCTTCGAGACGCGCCCTAACGAGTCGGATTCCGTCCAATCGTCGTAAAGCGACTGTCGTTGACACGGTAGCTTGGATATGCTGCGTTATTTGAGATCTTTCTCAAATACGCTTCGTTCGGATGACGCGCCACCGTGGGGTACATACAGTGTGTTGTTCAGTCAATGAGACTCGCTGAATTTCATGTTGTAATGGGGAATACCTGTGCGTTTCGGCGATCTCGCGTGACCAATTACTTTCAACAATTAAGAGCTTTGTAGATTGGCACTGCCGAGATTTGGCGGCGTAAAAAATGTGCGTAAATTAAAACAAACATTCCAGTTGCATTGGTTCTGTTGCGCGCGGACTCACTAAAAATAGCGTTTACATGTTTGTATTCGTTCCAAAGATGGTAGAATGCTTTCTCAAAGGTCCCGAGAACTTCCATTTGCCACAAAAAACAACAATGATAAAACGCAGCAATTTAGTTGCAACAAGTGTAAGGAATTGCACCCACGTAGGCTGCCACAGCACACCGACGAGAAAGCCCACAGCCCAGTGCACTCGAGCAACATTGGCGTCCCGAGACCAGGGATGCGCGCTCTAAACAACCTGGTTCGAGACTGCCGCTGGAAAGGTCTACAGTCACTAAAAAGGTGAGAATGACAGGCAGGAACATCAGTTGTTCTACCTTCGACAATTGTTCTCACGCTGTCAGCGACCATGGGAGTATATACTGAGCGAGCCAGGACGTACCGTCCTTCCAGTCGTCCATGGAGCGCAGGTAGGTCAGGGCGTCCTTGTCGTCCTCTTCCAGCAGTTTCTCCTTCTGAGCGTCCTCCTCCTCCAGCTCCCTCGACGCCTTCTCGGGGTCGGCCGCCCAGTCCTGCAGGCTCCAGCTGCGCACGCGTCCACCTTTGTTTACGTTTATTCCTCGTTGCACATCTCTGTGCAACTTCGAGGAGTTACGAGTTCAGCATTGTCCCAGCCTTCCTCCGTATTCATGCAAGAATTACGCTGTTACTACAAGTGGAGAAAAACTAGGGTAGCGAAAGCTCACTCTGCAAAACCCGGTGTTCAATCCCCAGCCCCATCCACTTCAATCTATGGTTACCATTGTGCGGATGTATATTACTGCTGCGCAATTCACATTGGAAGATTATGGGTTAGCAGTCGTATACAGCACTGGAGAAATTTCTCACCTACGTTTGAGGCACCAGATGCCCATTGAGGCCAACTTACTTCCTGCCGTCAAAACAAATACATAACGCAATTACCCTTTGCTGTGAACGGGAAGAGGGAAGAAGAATGTTCAGAGATTTCCTCACAGAGGTTCCTGGAGACCTTAGGAGCCTGATACTACTACTATGAAGATAACAAATATGACTGTTCTAACTACTACGACAACTGCAGCACGAGCAATCTAAACTGCATCGTTGGGAACCTTCGCTTGACGCTTCCTACCTCTACGCAGGAGGCTCACCCCATTAGAAGAGCCCTGCGATAATAACAGTTTGATCATCCGCAACAGATCCCCATCTGCATAGGTACTTTGTATTCGCATCTGAACCGCATCTGTTAAATCTGGAAACACATTTGACCTGCAATCCCCATTAGAAGTGTTAAGGAAGAGATCCCGGGCACGTCCGTTTCGATGGTGTCGGTTTATCGTTCCTTCACGTGCCGTTCATGATCTCGTGGTTCTGCGCTCCTCTACCTCCTTTTCCTCTCGTTACCTGCTACCAGATGGCATAATCTACAACAACTTCCCGCGCCGGCTTGGAGATGGGACCATGCATTCCCATACCGCGAGATGAGGAAGTTTAAGACGGTAAAGAGCAGCGCAGAAAATACAAACTCATGAAAGGTCAATGGTGGATACAAAATACACAAAACAAGTTGAATAAACACTCTGCCGAATCCCCACACAGTTTGAGTGAAGTCATGGTAACGCAATGCTTGTAGCAAACAAGGAATGTCCATCGTTCTGTGCCAATTCTTAGTTTGATATGTTGCCTTCAAGAAGGAGAAGACCTTGCATAGGGCGCCTAATTTCTTGTCCACTTGCAAGGCGAACAGCGCAGACTCTTGGTATGCCGTCTCTTCCAAGAAATGCTTCTGTGATTCTTCCAAGTTTCCATAGGAGCGGTGGCGTGTCGTCCTTTACGATAACAATGTCTCCCGGTTGAATACGCGGAGATGTCGTTGGCTGACTCTTATGTGCGGAGTGGAGAAGTAATAGGTATTCGTTTCTCCAGCGTTTTCATATTTCTATAAAGAATCGCTGACGATAGCGCACACGGCGCCTTAAGTCTGTAGCAGTCGAAGTCAGCGGGAGGGATTCTAGGTTATGAGGAAGACTTACAACACGCTTCGCTACAAGAAGATGTGATGGCGTTAATGGCTCTAGTTCTTGAGGGTCGTCACTGATGTAAGTAAGTGGACGACCGTTTACGGTTGCTTCTACTTCACACAAGACGGTCGTAAGCTTTTCAAAGGTGAGGCTACTGCGTCCGAGGGTTCCTTTCAGTGCGTTTTTCACTGTACGTATTATCCTTTCCCACCAACCACCCCACCACGGTGCTCGTGGGGCGTTAAACTTCCACTGAATGCGGAGTCCGCTGGAATTATCTTGGACCCGATCTGCCTGAGTCATTTTCAATACTCTTGCGGTGTGGCGGAATGTTTGGCCATTATCGGAGTAAACCACGGAAGGTACCCCGTGTCGGGAAATAAAACGTCGAAATGTGAGAAGAAACCTGGTTGCCGACATGTCGGAAACTAGTTCGAGATGTACAGCACGTGTTACAGCGCAAGAAAAGATGACGATGTATGCCTTTTCCGACGATGCTGAACGCACGTACAGCGGTTCACAGAAGTCGATGCCGGTAACGTCAAACGGACTTGCTTCTGTTATGTGCTCTCGCGGTAGGGGGGCCATCGGTGCTTCTTCTGGCTGGAGTCGTCTACGTCGACATAAAAGACAGGTACGCAGAATTTTCTTTACTGTCTGACGACCTCTTAAAATCCTAAATCTCTGTCGTAGTTCTGTGAGTGTGTCTTGTACTCCCCCGTGAAGAAGTCGAACATGCGTTGCCAGTACAAGCAACTCCGTGAGTTTATGGCTGTTTGTAAGTATAATCGGGTGTTTCACGTTGTCTGGACCACCAAGTTGCTGTAGCCGACCTCCAACACGTAGAATTCCGTTGGCGTCAAGAAATGGGTGAAGGCTAGCAATGCTAGAAGAAATGGCCACCTTCTCATGTGATTGCACAGCTGCAACTTCTACGGGGAATTCTTGTGTCTGCATGCTTCGTATCCAGTAGATTTCCGCCTGATGAATTTCCGCAGCGGTCAGGGGACCAGATATTGATGGATTTGAAGAAGCACTATTCCTGAATCTCTGCACCCACGCGGTAACGCGTAGAGCACGTGTTAAACTGGTGTGCTCCGCTAAGTTCAGTATTGTGTCGTTGTCTGCCGTCGTCAATGGGCACGCCGTTGCCTGGAGCTTGAGCTCTTCTCTCGGGAGACAGCTTGGAGAGGGTTTCAGTGTCCTAGAGGGCCAGTTGTCCTCACTTAGTGCGAGCCAGTCAGGACCATTCCACCACAGTGCACTACGTCGAAGTGCGGGTGCTGCCACACCACACGTCAACAGATCGGCGGGATTGTCCTTGCTCGGGCAGTGGCGCCACCGGAATCCTTCCGTTAATTGTCTGATTTCGACTGTTCTGTTGCTGACAAAGGGCTGCCATCGACTCGGGTCACCGGCTATCCAGTGCAGCGCAATCTCGGAGTCAGTCCAAAGGTGAGCTTGAAGCTGCCCCAGACCAGGGACCTTACGTACGAAGTTAAGTAGTCGTGCGCCTATGAGACAAGCAAGAAGTTCCAGTCTTGGAAGCGACTGTTGTTTTAGAGGTGCAACTCGTCCCTTGGCTGCCAAGACTTGCGTTGTGAAGGAACCATCTGGAGCCAGAGCACGTAGGTAAATTACTGTTCCGTATGCACGTGGGCTGGCGTCTGTGAAAATATGGAGCTGCGGCGAAGGGTTTCCATTAATATGAGAAGGAAGCACGTAGCAGAGAATGCGGAAGGAGGAAAGGTAGGCTAGGTCGGAACACCAAGAGTTCCATACTGTAAGTTCTTCAGCTGAGAGGTCTTCATCCCAAGGGCACGTGCGTAACCAGAGTGCCTGAAACAACAATTTGGCTTGAAGAGTAAATGGTGCTAAGTAGCCAAAAGGATCAAACAGCCGGGCGAATGCTTGGAGGACCGTTCGTTTTGTGGCTCGTCGCGTTGTTAGGAAGGCAGTTACATTCTGTGTGCTGAGAACAATCTCATCCTTGGCTCTGTCCCATACGACCCCTAGCACTTTCATTAGAACTGTGTCTTCGGCAACATTCTCATAGGCAATTCCTTCACGCAGAAATTGTTTTTGTAGACACGGGGAATTCGAAGACCATTTTCGCAGGTCCATCCCTGCTTCTGTGATAATTTATCTTGCGTGCTCGTAGGCCTGTAGAGCATCGTCTTCGGATGCGCATCCAAGTACAAAGCCATCCACATAAAAAGATTGCAACAAGCGGTCTACTATGTCCGGGTAACTTTCTCTCATGGACATAAGGTGATGCTGCAGAGTTGCCGAGAGCAGGAACGGACTAGAAGACGCTCCGAAGGGGACGCGTGTCATGCGCCATTCCACCACACTGTATATGCCTTCCGTGTTGCATGGGAGTTGGTCCACCCACAGGAAGCGAAGTGCATCGCGGTCCTGCGGACGAATACCGATCTGAAGAAACGCTTTGCGGATGTCTGCGGTAATGATTACAGGACTGCAACGAAACTTCAGAAGTATCTGAAGCAGGTTATTCTCAATATTAGGGCCTTTGTCAAGCACGCTGTTAAGAGAAGGCTTGTCAGGAAGATGTGAAGATGCGTCAAATACAACTCGGAGCTTTGTCGTCACAGCTTCTTTGCGGACAACTGCATGATGGGGTAGATAATAAACATTTTCCGGTTGTTCCTTCGATTGTGGAACTCTTTCTGCGTGACCTTCATCAAAATACTCCCGAATAGAGCGGTCGTACTGCTCGAGCATTTCGGGATGCGCAAGAAACCGTCTTAACTGTGCGAAGAGACGGGTTTCTGCCGTGGATCTGTTGTCATTGTTAGTTCCGATGCCGGGAGGCTTGATCATTAAGGGGACTTCGTAGCGGTTGTTCACCTTGGTGATTTTGTTGTTGAATTCTAGCATTGTTGGATGTTCAAGTAAGCTTGACCTGGTACCTTCTGAAATTCCAATAGCATCTAAACGCCACATTTCTGACGGATCGAATGGCTCATTACATGGGTAGACCGGCTCGCATGTGAGGAAAAACATAGAAACGCTTGTTGAAGTTTGAAAGACGGCTTGAGAGTATGTTCCTTGGACCATCCATCCAAATATGGTTTCTACTGCGGTGAGGTCGTCAGTCATGCGCTGGATTCGTCCCGTGACGACTTGCCAGTAGAAGTCTGAACCTATGAGAACGCCGACGTCGTTGTCCACTCTGCCTTGAGCCCCAGCAGGGATGATATCTGCGGCTTGAAGTCCGCGGGAATGAAGTTGCCTCAGTAGATTGTCATCTAGCTGCTGGTGTGATACTGTGCACAGGTCTGGGACTTCCAGTGCTTCAAGTGATGTCTTCTGGTTGCTTTGATGGCTATGGAGGGTCACAACCACTCGTCGACAGGACCTTTTGGTGGCTGTGTTTCCAAATGTGTATATAGTAAGCTCCCCCTGGCCCACGACTTCACAGCCCAGTTTTTCAGAAATGTCCTGCCGGATAAACGTGCGCTGACTCCCACTGTCCAGTAACAGCCTCTGTAGGAGGTGTCTCAGTGTCCCTAGGGCCCACGT